CCCTCTCCCTCCCTCTCTCTCTCTTTCTCTCGTTTCGCCTTGTTTTCATCGATTAGCATCGTGTCGCGATACCGATCCCAGACTTCTCTGCTACGAAGCATTCCGCTCCCTTCCAAACTCTATTACCACGGGAAAATGGGAGGAATACGTTTATAATCCAACGGCCAATTTATCGTCGAGTGATATCCTATGTTTTATTCATTCCCTCTCCCCCTCCCTCGACAATCTCTTCCTTTCCTCGCAACAGATTAATCCTTCGATCGTTCCGTTAATTAATAAAAGGACGTCGCGTGTGATCGTTCGATTTATCGAGATGAGATGAGTATTTTGCAAAATTTTTTTATACCGCCAGGAACGAAAGAGGCGAAGTGGGAATGATAGCTCCTTTGTTGACGGGAACGAGGATATTGACATCGAAGATGAATCGCCCTATTTTCTCCCCTGTTCTCCCCCCGCCTCGCCGCACCGATATCGTCTTTTCAGCTTTAACCCGGACGCACTTTATATTTCGCACTTTCCTTTATGCCTGGATCAACGGGCGAAAGCGTCGTACGTCATTTTGCAAAATGGCAGGCCCCCTTCATCGAGATCGAAGATTAAAGAGAATGATTAAGATTATTATATTAGGAGGGGAGTATAAATTTATTTACGATGCGATTTATACGAAACTGGAAGCTCGGTTGTGGACTTTCAAGAGCTAGTTCCGGAGTCCCATAGTGCTCCATAGAAAGTCAACGAGCCCCCAGCGAGTCTTCGTCGGTCGAATTGCAATCGCGGCGTGATATATGGCGGTGCTGAAAACTCCATTCACGTCCAAGTTCGAGAGTTTTGCCCGATGGAAAATATATATACGTCGGATTTTTCTCCATCCCCGATGAAATTGCATTCACAGATATATATATATATCATCGTGTTAATCACTCCGTGTAAAAATATCTCGTCTTCCTCGTTCATTCTATATCTCCTTGAACGAAATTTACTTTTAAATTTACTTTTCACCCGTTATCCGTGTTTGCACGACCGCGTTTGTTCCGAGACGAGAGTAATTAAGAATCGAAGGAATCTGAGATGGACGTGCGTGATTCTCGCCATACGTGGAAGAAATTCGCCGTTATCTCGAGTTTTGTGGCGAGTGTTGTAAAAAACTTGGGCAGAGCCGGATCGATCGGTGCCACGAATAATTGACGCGGCAAGTTAAACAGAGGGTGGTTTAGAAACGCCGAAACTACGATTGCCAGCACGCGAGCATTCGTTTCACGTTCGTGACCAAGGTATTTAATTATCCCTCGATGCGAAACCGACGCGATATTAACGAAATAAATGCGATGGAGGCTGAAAATTGCCTCGTCCTGAAAACCTTGTATTTTTGGCGGAATTTAAATGGCCAGTAGCGATTAATCCGTCTCTGTAATTGTTACTTGGGTAAACATTGAAATATTTATCGTCCAAGATATATGTATTATTAACGTTCAAACGATTTTCTTGATAAATAGCGAGTTGATCGATCGATGATCGGATTAATTGGTTTTCAATATTGCTTTTTTTCCATATTCCATAAACGGTCTGCATATTCTATAAATTGTTTGCAGATTTATTTGATCGCGTTTACAGTTTTTAAAAAAAGTTTCATCTTTCATCGAGCATGAAGTAAAATATTTTGCTCGAAAAAATTAACCTAATCTCCTCCACAACGTGTCTACGTAACCGATAAATACCAAATAAAATCCATAATGTGAAATATGAAGAAGCACCAATGTGATTCCAAAGATCTTCTCAAAGATCCTCCAATAATTCACAGCAAATATAACGTTATACGTCATATTCGTCGACGATCTTTTCTTAATCGCGATGAAGCGTACCTTTCAACGTGTTCTCCCTTCTCCCCTCCTCTTCTTTCCCGTTCCCTTCTTTCAAGCAAACGATTCGAGTCTGGTCTTCTGGAACACGCGTACAGGGAAGGATAAAGAATTAAGAAGACTATTAAATTATAGAAAATTACGCTCCCTAAAAGGTCGCAAGTGGACCCCTCTTTTTCCTCCGATCGCCCATTCAACCCTCTTTCGTTCCTCGCCTTTTATCGCCTTCGATTCCTTCCGACTCCTCTCACGAGTTATAATTGCGAACCGAAGGGCATCACAGGGATACTTCGCAACTTCCCTTCTCTCTCTCTCTCTCTCTCTCTCTCTCTCTCTCTCTCTTTATCTCGTTTCGTTTCATTCATTTTGTATAGCTCGCAAGTTTCCTTGGATCGAGAATAATTGGCTCACGTGTATTTTAAGGGTGAATTCATATATTCGAATAACTGTGATCGCGAATAGATTCGAAATAATTGTCGATCGTGTGAAGGATAAAAATATTATTACGATCAAATTCGTGATCGTGGATTATCGAATGAGTTACTCTCTCGTAACTTTCCTCTCTTCTTTCTTCTCGTCCAATTTTGTTATGATCGGTTACATAGCTCGCACTTATCGACAGTTTCTCTTCGATCTTCGAGAATAATTGTGCTTGTAAAGATGAATTCGAATCGTGTAAAGAATAAAAGTATTGCTACAATTAAATTTATGATCGTGGATTATCGAATGAATGTTATATAACTATTTATTTAACGAATAATTAGGCGCTCTCGCTTTCCAGAGCACATTGTGTCTCTGGAAGGATAGAAGTTTCTTCCAACGATTAAAAAAAAACGTTTCGAAACATTTGAACAGGTTTTTTTTTTTTAATTAAGTTGGAGAATTCTTGAAGCTATCGAGATGGGGAAAATTCTACGTTTCTTTTCGAATAAATCTCGTAAAGATTTGTCGTAAAGAACTTTACCAGAGCCTCGAAATCGCGTTACCAAAAGGTTATCATCATCGCGTACTCGATATTATAACATAGTCTTAAAATATTCCTCCTCCAACCCGAAGGATCATGGAATTTCCATAATCCAAATCTAACTACAATCGATCAACGATATCGTCGCCCCTGCTTATTAAAACGATCCAATGATCCAGGGGTATATAGAGGCAATTATTCAAATCCAGTCTGATGTTGATATCTACGATCCCCTCCCCCTAATATTCTCGTTAATATTAACGCATCGGGCTAATTATAACGGGTCACGTCGCTGCGATCAATTCATTTGTCCCTAATCGAGTTAGATCGGCAGAAACGCGATACGAAACGGGGTGGGAAGGGGGTGGAGCAGCAAAGACAGACGCGTTGAATATCAAAACGCAAGTCCTCGTTTAATTAATCGATCCGTGGCCGGCCAGCCTAGACGTTTCGCTCGAATTTCTTCTTTATTGTGCCCGATCGTGTGCGCGAGACTAATGATACGTTGTAATTTCGCTAATTAGCTCGAATTTGCGGCCTTTGCGGATAGGACTGGTTTCGATTTACGCGCGATCGATTATCCCCCGCTTGGATGGACGATGACGGAACCGTCGATTCCGAGTTACGAGTCATTCGTAATAGTTATTTGTCGCTGCAATCGTATCTCGCCATTGTGGCAAGCAAGTTTCGATTAATCGATCTCTTATCAAATTGATAAGTCGTTTAAATTGTAAATTGATTTTTCACGAATCTAAATAAAAATCTTTCGATCTTGGTTACAATTTAATCGCAAGATCGCAAGAAAATTATTGGATTCTATCCGTGATTTGTGTAAAATTGATAAATCGTTTAAATTGTAAATTGATTTTTCACGAATCTAAATAAAAATCTTTTGATCTTGGTCACAATTTAAGATCGCAAGAAAATTATTGGATTCTATCCGTGGTTTGTGTAAAATTGATAAGTCGTTTAAATTGTAAATTGATTTTTCACGAATCTAAATAAAAATCTTTCGATCTTGGTCACAATTCAAGATCGCAAGAAAATTATTGTATTCTATTTGTGGTTTGTGTAAAATTGATAAGTCGTTCGAATTGTAAATTAGAATTGATTTTTCACGAATCTAAATAAAAATCTTTCGATCTTGATCACAATTCAATCGCACAAAGATCGTAAGAAAATTATTGTATTCTATCCGTGGTTTGTGTAAAATCGATAAATCGTTTAAATTGTAAATTGATTTTTCACGAATCTAAATAAAAATCTTTCGATCTTGGTCACAATTCAATCGCAAGATCGTAAGAAAATTATTGTATTCTATTTGTGATTTGTGTAAAATTGATAAGTCGTTCGAATTGTAAATTGGCATTGATTTTTCACGAATCTAAATAAAAATCTTTCGATCTTGGTTACAATTTAATCGCAAGATCGTAAGAAAATTATTGGATTCTATCCGTGGTTTGTGTAAAATCGATAAGTCGTTTAAATTGTAAATTGATTTTTCACGAATCTAAATAAAAATCTTTCGATCTTGGTCACAATTGAATCGCAAGATCGAAAATTATTTTATCCGATCGCTAATTAGTTCGAATTGTAAATTGGCATTGATTTTTCACGAATTTAAATAAAAATCTTTCGATCAATTCAATCGCAAGATCGAAAAATAATTGCATTCGATCGCTAATTAGTTGGAATTTGCGGCCTGTGTACACAGGACGGTTTCGATTTATGCCTAATCGTATCGTGCAATTCGATGACGGAACTGTCGATTCCGAGTTACGAGTCATTCGTAATAATTATTTGTCGCGATAGTCGTATCTCGCCATTATAGGAAGCAAATTAGGACTAATCGATCCCCTTATCGAATCAAATTGATAAATCGTTCAAATTGTAAATTACCATTGATTTTCGTTGAATATAAAATAAAAATCGCAAGATCGAAAATTATTGTATCCGATCGCTAATTAGTTCGAATTTGTGTAAAATTGATAAGTGGTTCGAATTGTAAATTGAAAGATTTTTTTTCTTTTCGTTTTCTAGAATTTCGACGAATCTAAATAAAAATTGGATTTCGATCGTGGCGATAGATAATTCAATTCGCAAGATGGAAAAGTTTTCCATTTCCCTGTCCCCTTGCGAACCACGTCTTTAACGGTGAATATTTGTTTGTCGGTTCGCAGAGCACACTTGCAAGGACTTCCGATGCACCCAGAACGAATTTTGCATCGAGAGGGATCTCCTTTGTGACGGCGTGAATCACTGCGGCGACGAGTCCGACGAGGCTACCTCCACCCTCTGTGCCAGTAAGTTCTAATTACCACCGATTCATTTTCCAGACCCTTTTCCCTCGAGGAGGAGAGAGGGGTCTTTTCGGATTTCAAATGAAATACGCCGCGGGCAAATTGATTTGTAATCGAACCAGAACGGGATCATCGAATTCTTACTTCAAATACTGCTGCTTAAACTTCGATTCCTAACTTTTCAAACCGATTTCATAATCATTGGAATATATATATATATATATATTTTTATATATATAATATATAAAATAAAATATATATAATAATTATTTATATATATAATATATTTATATATTATATTTATATATATATTTATATTTATATATATAATAATTATTAAAATATATATATATATATTTTAATTCGAATAAAATTTGGATTAATCGATGTATTTTTTTTTTTTTTTTAGAGAGGAGCAAACGATCGATCGAAACAAAGATTCGTGGAAATATAAAATTTACCGTGAAATTGATATCGCTTTGAAATATTTATTAATATTGATCGAATTTTCATTCCGATTAATCGCTGCGATAATATCCGCAATAAAGTAATAATCCGTTGCGGCCCTGTACAAAGGGAATTTCAAAGAAAAACAAAATATAGGAAAACGATAAAAACAGCGAATAGCGGAGGTCAGCGTTTCCCGTTTCACGAGAAGCATTTTAATCAATTTCTGTTCCCGTCGACGATCGACGGCCATTTCGTTCCTTTCCCGCGATGTTAAAATCTATTTTAACATCAGACATATCGATTATGGTTACGTTTCGAATCGAAACGTGTGATCAGGAACAACGTTCGTATCGATGTCGTGACCGCATTCATTTATTATTCAAACGCAAAAATTAATCCGTTTTTTCCTTATATTAATTTATATTAACTTATATATTTTAATTATAAATTCGATAGCGAATCGCGACGATAATGTACTGGTTGAGATACGCAAACTCGTTGAGAGGGAGGGGATGTTGGCAGTGGATGATGAAGCAAGGGGGTACGTTCGTTACGCGACATTCAGAGACGTTGTAGATCATCATCAATCATCCGCAAAATTCATAATTAGTACGTAGTTAATGCTTTCATTTGAATAATTGTTGCATATCTTCGCGATTGGTATTCGTCACGCCATTGCGAAGGGATTTGTCAAAGCGCAACGTTCGTCGTAAATTCGTCGTAAATTCGATATCCGTAAATCCGTTTTACCCCGCTGAATACGATCGAATTAAAAAAGGATTCGCATCGTGTTTGTGCAAACACGCGGAAGAATAATAAGCGAATAATTATGAAATTCTTTTGAATCTTCGATCTTTCGAAAAGATAACCAATCCGACACGCGTGTTCAAAGCGCGACCGAGCAGCCTCAAAGTACAAAGTCAGCCGACTTTACGCGAAATTTCTTTTTCTTCTTTCCTCTCTCTCTCTCTCTCTCTCGTCGCTTTCGCCATGGTAATAGCGTGTCGTACGACCCCTAATGATAAAAAAAAAAAAAAAAAGTATACACACGGAACGATATCGATCTCTCGATTCAACGAAACTGCGTGCACGTTTCGTTGCCAGAGGGCGGTTTCTGTGTTGGCCGCTCTCTGGAACGCATTGTACAACGCCCGGGGGAATTAATTCTCTTCCGTTGTCAGTTGACCCGACACTTGGCAGCAAGATGAACTGCCATTGCTATTTTAATCGAGGGAAGAAAGGAGAAGCGTCGTCTACGTGACGTAGATGGAGCCACTTTGATGGGGCGGGATTCGTCGCGCGAAAATTCGAAGAAGAATGACATAAGGGGAGCGCGTTCTCTTTTCGACGAAATGAAAATAATTGTTTTCCGCCGTTTTGGTATTCCGTATATATTTTGTGTTATATACGATATTTACGATGTTTACGACGTTTGGATAGTCGAATCGTTCACGATGTTACAAATTATTCGTAACAAAATATGATACGTGTTACATACGTGCCAACCCCCGGGCGTGTATTTATTAATTTCACGTGATTGATGGTTTTGCCGGCGTGATGTCGTATAATATTTATCGAACTATCCCAAAATTAATAGCTCGAAGAGTTATTGACGTTTCTGTACCAGTTAACGCATTAAATAACCACAATATACACGTACTCGTTTATTATAATCGTGTAACCCTTAGTTCCCTTTCGTGAATAATGGACAGTCATTAAAGGTATAACGATTCAACATATATATATATAATCGAGTTCTATTAAATCATCCTACAAATAAACCTCGCTCGCTTCTCCTATTATATATTGCGTTTCGTTATCGATGTTTCCATTTAAAAAAAATAAAAAGATAATTGGATAAATCCAATCACGATCTAATCAGACGTTTAGTATGTATAAAATATCAGAGATAAAAAAAAAACTTAATCTACTTATACCCAGACATCATTAATTTAGATTAATTTCAATTCGAAGTTTAAAATCTATTATACACTTACTTACTGGATTACTATTCATATTCGATAAATTTTACAAACTTCAGATTAAAAGTATCTTCCAAACTAACGATTCCTTGACATAAATAGATAAACTCTTCGAGAACGTTATAAAGCATCTTTTCACCTTTATTAAAAAAATATTCTGCGATGAAGCGGAATATGAATTCTTCGACAAAATTCAATTCCCTTCTTAACTCGGTATAATCAGCCGTATAAAATATAATATAATCCCATTTTAAAAGGAACATTAACGACATTCGTTCCCGAATGTTCCGTTTAAGAAAACTTAAGAAAGCATCTTAAAGAACGCTGAAACTCGCTGAAAAAATCTTTACCATCACCAGTAAAATACCACCCCCCCTTTTTCTCTCTTTCGACGAAAATGATTTAACTCTCTCGTTTCCTTTACAGACTCCGAGGCATCGACGATCCTGGGTATGCAGACGATCTGGTTCGTGATCGCGCTGGTTTTTCTTATCCTGAGCGTGGCAGGCCTGGTCACGGCGGCGGTCCTCTGCTTCTGCAGGCAGCGTGCAGCAACCCCCAGGCACCCCCACAACGCGCACAACGCCCAGACTCATCCTCCGGTCAGCTTCCCATGTGAGTTTCGCAAAAAGCGCGCCCCCCATCCTCCTTCTTGTTGCGTTGCGCGTCCACCCTCCTTCCACCCCTTTCTTCCCTTTTCCTTCCTGTTTCCTATGGCCCCAACCAATCGACGACCAAATTTTCCACCCCGTTTCACGTTCTCCACAGTGAATCGGGGATTTTGTCAATTTCGGCCTCGAATTGAAAACTTACGGGTCAGCCATCTGCTTTTCATCGTGTGTCTCCGCTTTTGTTCACTTTTGTTTTTTTTTTTTTTTCTCTTCGATTGTTCGTTCGAGGGAATGGGTGGGTGGATTTGGATGAGACAGTTTGTATATATAATGAATATAATTCAAAATAAGGGAAGTTTAATTCCGTACAATTATATAGATAGATTTTATTGTATACGATCTTTGTTCTAGATTGTATAAGATAGGATTGTTCCAATGAATATTAATCAAAATTACTCGATTTAGATTTTGCAAGAGTCATCAGTTTATAAACTAAATTTCTTCGAGTATAATATAATTGGTGAAAAAGTAAAAGAAATTATAAGAAATAGAACGTGTCGCGTATCGACACGATATATCCTTTTCCTAAGATGAGAGGGAGAATGGAACGGCGTCGTAGGAGGATACCAATTTGATTTCCGACTGAAATTTAACGTTTAATCAGAGTCTGAAGACTCGCATCGATGAAACGAAGGATGCACACCCGGTTGTGCCTCGTTAATTGTGTATAATTCGACGCGAATAGAAACAGCGCGCACGATTTTAATAGCACGCCCGTGTATTAATTCATCAAAGCGTCGACTAATTAGTTTGACGCGGGATTAATTTAACGAGGGAGGGGGTTAAACTCGATGAAAGCTCTCACGCTGTTCTCGCGCGCGCCGTTATCCCCTCTTCTTCTTTTCGACGAAACGATCTAATTAAAAAAGGGAGGGGAGAAGGGAGTTATTAAAGCGTTCATATTTACGTTTCTACGTGATAAAATATTCGGTCGATTTGGAAGCCGATGTGAATTCTGAATTAGACGGTCGAATACCCTGACGTCTCTGACGTCCGCGTTCTTCCCAATTTGGCCCGGAATGGTCTTGAACCGATCACAATCGCGAAAGTTAATCAACTCGAGCTCGTGAGAATTACGCGATCCCCCTGGCTAACCCGTGTAACTTTGCCTGCTTCTAGTTTCAGTTAGTTCGTTCCATTGTCTCTCCTAATTGTTTATTAGCCGGCCGCGCTTCTCGAGTCGTAGTATGGTATATTTAGAATTTAGCGCAACAGAGAGTTGGTAATGCGGCGCGGAAATTGGCGCACCCGAGGCTGCACAAGGTTATATTTAATAACAGATCTCCTCGAGAGGAATATCGTATGGGTTTCGTATTGGATCAAGTTTGTTTCGCGAGTTTCACGTTGCGATAGCAGGAGAGAGAAAATCGACAAACGAGATCTGAATTGGGAAAAATATTTATTGCTGTCGTCCCGAAGCGAAACGAAAAGAAGGGTCGAAGGAGATCCGGGAAATAAATATTTTCTGCGAATGCGAGTATAATTTAAAGTGAAAGAGGTTGAATTCCCTCCCCGTTTACTTTGACCACGGAATCGAGCGTGTATTTCATTCAACACGAGCCACCATCCTTTCTTGAAAATTTATCCTCACCCTCGCGAATGCGAATGCGAAGCAAACGAACACGGTTTCGCCGGTAAATACGTTTACGACCGATATCATAAATTTCAACATTCGCTCTCTTTCATCTTCGATCCGGCTTCCATTTACCATCGTTTCTCTCTTATTCTCTCCTTATCATTATTGTTGTTATTTTTGTTACTTCTTATTTTCTATCTCTCTCTCTCTCTCGAATTCTCGGCCATCGATCGAATCTACGGTCGCGGTAATCTCTTGCATTAACCTGGTCAGCCCGGTTCGGCGAAAATTTATTATTTTCCATTGGACTTTGGAACGGAAATTGCAGGGGCGAGAAAAGCAAGGGGCGCAACGAGTAATATATTACGGGGGACACGTTTTATGTTGGCCCGTGTAAAATGGCCGGCGATAGGTGTCTAATACATTCCCGACGCGACAAAGCGTTCTTTATTTTCGCCGGCGGTGGAACAGCACGAGGCAATGGGGAATAAAAGGAACGGAATCACGTGAAAATTGATGCGGCGCTCGGTGTATATTATTCGTAATGCAACGCGGAACAAAAAGGGAGAGGATATTAATAGCGGATAGAGATAAAACTCGGAGGAATATAAAAATCGGCAAGGATTCTCGTTATTCTCGTTTGTTAATTGTTAACACACGTGGCTATTACATCGGGACATAAATTTTTTATTTTTCTTTTTTTCTTCACTTGGAAAATACGAGATCAGTCGAGGGGACAAATGCACGAGGAGAGAAGAGTTTAAAGTTCCATGTCGCGTCACGTGTTGCTGTTCCTCCAGTTCTCCTCTTCTAAAACTTCTATATTTCGTTACAGAGATAAAGAAAAGTTTGAAAGATGTTTGCCTCTGACTTTTTATGTACCCAACGTGTACGGGATATAAAATACCTCGTAACACTTTGTATTGTAGAAACTGTTTGCAGTTTCGTAGGATGTTTGAATAATTACGATTCAATTTTTTAAGCGTGTAAAAAGAAATGGTGAAACAAAATATACGAATCTCTCTAAAATATACGAATCATCGCAACGCCATTTTTATCCCGTTTCACTTTACATTTTAAACCGTGTGAAATTTTTCATCGGCGATATCGCTGTAAAATCCGCGAATTTTTAAAGATTTTTAAGGGGCCGGTCCAACTTAAACCCTTGGAACGATTATCATAATAATCGGCGGCGAGAAAACGATAACCGGGAGCCGTTACAGCAAGAGAAGCAATATCATCGTGATTTCATCGCGCTGTATAATTTTCCACATCTGGATCGGATTTTACAGAATATCGAAAGGGGAACGAATACGTGGCTCGCTTATAACGTTTCGTTCACCGGGATTGTTCACGGTGGAAATCACCGCTCTCACCGTTTCCAATCTCGTCGTTGCAACGACGCAATTTTAAGATGATCGCGAGCATTTCGCGTTGTTTTTCTATTCATCCAGCTGTTACTGTTCCCGGCAGTTTCGCCAGAGATATAAAAAATGAAAGCTGATGAATTTTCCTATCGCACGGTGATATCATCGAAATGGGTCATCGCTTCGTCCTCTTTCTGATCCTCCCCCTTTTCTTCGAATATCCATTTCTAATCTTCGCACGCGTGTGACAAATTCTTTCTTTCGTTGCGCGTTAGAAAATAATTTTTTTTTTTTTTTTTTTTTTAATTCGAATGTTATCACTTTATCGTCGCAAATGTCGTTTGATACGATACCGATGTTATTTCCATTCCATTATTTCGATACCGATTATACTTATCACAATTGCATCTAATCTTGTGATACGATCGAGATCGTATCATGCATCATAATAATCGCATTACGATCGTTGCTTTCGCATGAAATCGTAGTTACAGCTAACTGGGTTGATTAAAAATATACCGACCCCCGTTAAGCTTCCCCTAATTTTATTTCCAGTTCCGTTCGAATCGATATTATTGATAACACGTACGAATATCGTACATTTAGAGAATATTAACAAATAATAGCGGTACAATTATCGACTCCCATTGGTCACACGCTAACGCAATTATTCGTTACGCATATTGTTACGTTCATTCGCGCGCCTGTGTTATAATATAACCATCTTTGCGTCATTGTTACGATTCTACCATGAGATTAATCTCTAAAATTTAAAGAAAAAAAAAATACATGTCGTATACGTGTGAATGGAAATTTTACAATTTTCAGAAAAAAATTTCAATGTCGTTCTCCTCTCTCTTTTATTTATCGCTTATTTATCCGTTTTACTTTTCTCTTTTTAAATCACGATCGATTAAAATTGTATATATATATATATATATAAAACAAGTTTCACGGAGTAAATAACTGGCGATTATTATGGGCAAACAGCTGCATCTATCATTCGAGTAAAACCGACCCGCTGAATTTTAAGTCCGCGGCGATTAATAACGCATTGTCGTGTATTGTAATGCATATTGCACGGAATTAAACGTAACGTATGATCGACCGCAAATTCATTTTTCACCGTGATATGCGATCGCTTTTGAACGCGTACACGCGTCGAGGCGGGGGTAGTATCGTGACGGCAAATATTAACCGGCGATACGTATCGGGCGCGGCATTAATTCGAAGATCAGGGCCCCCCCCCTACCTCCCCTCTTTGCCCAATAGCGAATCGTGTGGAATATTTAAGCAATATCTGCACTCCTTGCTCCTTTATCATTGCCGGCATTTGTTTGTTGTTCATTTGTTAAATTATTAAATTAAGATTTCGAGCGAGGAAGAGGAAGAATTGTGGAAAAGGGTGGAGATCGCGTGAAGATTAATTGGAAAGTAAATGGAAACGTTTATCGGTTTTGAAATTTTCGGCTTGTTGTCAGAGGTTTGATTACCGTTCAGATATGAGCCATTTCTAATTTTCTCAACGAGATTTCAAGCGATATATTTATTTTTATAAAACTTTATGGTAAAGGAATTCTTCGAACGCTTCGATTCTTACTTAGCTTCTCGAGCGTCGAATATTTTATTTCTTAAAAGCAATTGTAAATGGCGAAACGAGGTTGGTGTAATCTGGTTGGTGAAATATAATAAAGCGAGTATGATGGTTTGTGATGTATATAGTCGAGCGTTGTCATGTGGAAGAATAAGTTCACGTCTATCGACTTAAATGCGAGTTAATTAATTTCTTAGCGATAGAATGTTGCTGTTATGATACACCCTTGTTTTAGAAAAGAATAATGAATTATTCCCTTTACAGACCACGGATAACTTTTTTCGTAACGATAATTTTTATTAGTATCCAACCATTGTTCATATCTTGTATTCATTTCTTACTAAAAGTTATAATTCTATTCAGAAATAGACTTCCAAACTTTTGATCTTCTTTTCTAATTTTTTAAC